TTCCATCTCCCTGATCACCTCTTGTGTATTTAAGCCTTTAGTTTCCTTCACTCCCTTGTTGTGATCTCCCCTCATGTTGTGTGTTCTCCCTTCTCTCTGTCAGTGTTAGTTTTCAGTCTGTTTGCTCCTGTTTAATGTGTTGTTAAGTTTGCCATTTGTTAGCTAATAACGTGTTTTGAGTTCAAGTGTTTCTGCTGAGTCCTGCGTTTGGAATCCACGATCTTCCTAACACACAAATGTGTCCTGACAACATCTTTTAATCAAAGAATGAGACAAGTGATTCCAGATAGTTTAGAAACTTTGAACTTACTTTTATTTTAATTAAAAAGTAGACCTTCTGTAGATCCATGTACGTCATTCATTGACACTGTGCTAAAGGATCAAACTGATATCACGGCAAAACGTGTAACAGACACGTCGGTCGACAGTGCACGCTTTACCTCTTCAACAAATGAAATGGACATGAATGCAGAAGTTGCATTAGCAGCAGGGGGAGTAATATATGTAAAGCCATGAAGTCGGTAGTGAGGACAAAGTACATTCGTCGTTAATCATCAGAAACAGTTAAGCTAGGAGGCTAATATGTATATACATGTAAATGTGTTAATAACATTTATTTAACGTTTTTCCGATGATTATTTTCATGTTGGCTTGAAATAAATCTCCCTCTGCTGTTACTGCAGCTTCTGCATGTGTGTCCATTTCATGTTTTGTAAGGGGCAAAGTGTCAAATGTACACGGTGGACCAGCGTGTCTATTACATGTTTTGACACGATACTGGGTTTAAAGATGGAAGCAATGGGAGAAAAATGACCGGTACGCTCATGCAGTCATTCAGCTTCACGGGAGTTCATGTCTGAAAACTGGTTATTGTGTCTGAGTGTAGAGTAGGTTTGGTCGTGATCTCTGCTCGCTGTATTGAGACTTTGGTAGGTCGAGTCTTCACATGAGGAGACTGGATGATCGAGTTCACTGAGACCAATCTGGGAAAATAAAAATAACAAACTGACTGAACTGAGGAGCAAAGACAAAAACACAGTGACAGCAATGACATATTAAAGCAGAAGATGTTGATGCACAGCAGGTTTTTAGTGTCAGGATGGAAACAGAAGCTGTGTGTTCTATTTATAGTGCACAGAGAAGTGAAAAAGTAGATTTTGAACTCTGGTTAATTTCGGTGCCGCTTGCATCTTTTAATATAAAACAGAGACTAGTGCAGATTTAAATGAAAATGAATCATATAATAATAATGAATTTCATTTATATAGCGCTTTTCGGGCCCT